GTAGGACTAATATAAACTACCTACAAAACAATAATAATAGATAGTAGGAGTGACGTATTTATTATTTATTATGAAAGGATTAACTATATATACATATATATGTGATGTGTGTATATATATATATATATATATATATAACTTTTCAGTCACAATTTTTAACATTCTAGTACACCTACATTTACTTCCTTTTTGAAAAGTTTTTCTTTACTTGTAAATGATTATCTTAGTCAGGTTGAAAACTTGTATTATTATTTCTAGTAATATGACTAATGTAAAAATAAAAATGAACACTTCAGATTTTTAATTAAAATTAAATAGCTTTAATAATTATTTATAACCATATTTAAAAAAATTCATTGTTGCATTGGTGAATAGGATGACTGTTTCCAAGTATTTTAAAAAAGTCAGTATTTACTAAGTCATATATCATTTTCACTTATTTTAGACATCAACAATACAGAAAACATCTTCCTCATAAAAATCTTAACTTCTAAACAATGAAAAATTGGTATTGTAACAAGTTTATGCTATAACTTATCCTAAACAATACTAACTATAAAAACAAATCTCTTAAAGTCCAAACACATTGTTAGAATGTCTGGAAAAAGTCATAAAGTACAAGGCACTGATATTTATATTGTTGCATTAGCTAAAAAACATGTTAGTGAATGGCTGAGGCCCTAACTGGATTGCTATACACTTCAGCTATAAAAAAACCTCAACAAAGTTTTTATGGTAATTAACATTGACACTTAATGTAACAATGTATTTTTTAAAATTAAACACTCCCTTTTCCTCTGTACCTGTTTATTCAACATTAAATAATACAGTTATTAATTTTTGAAAAAAAAATGGGTGTATGAAGTTTGTTTCCTCCCTAGTCTCCTCCCTTACATCTATTCCTGCTTATACAACATTAGAAACACAGTATATTAAATCCTGAAGATTGGGGGTGTGTGGACCTCCTCCCCTAGATCTACACTTACTTATGCAACATTAAATAATACAATTATTAATTTCTGAAAATAAATAGAATGGAGTGGTTTTCAGACTCCCTGAATCCCTCTCCTCAATCCAAGCTTGCTTATATGACAAAAGAGAATACAATTATGTATTAGAAACACAATGTAAAATAGCAGTAAATTTACACTTGCAGTACAGTACTTCCCTCTTCTCACAAGAATAGCTGTTCTCATTCATTGCTGCCCTCTATATGCAAGTACAATACTTCCTCAACCACCAGACTATCGAACCTGTTCCAAATCATTCATTGGGGTTTTTCTCCCATCTGTTTGTTGTTTACAAAAAGATCGAGGACTGGAGTCTTGCCTCAATTGATTTGTTCACCCCCTATGTTTCACCATGGAGTCCTACCTCACTTAACAGGGGAAATTTTTTCTGGGTCTCTGGATGACCAAGATGGACGTCTCCAATGCCTATCTGCATATTCCCATCTTTGAACAATCTCATCCTTATCTTCGGTTTGTTCATTGAGGGGTGGTGTACCAATTTGTGCCCTACCCTTCAGGCTAGCTTCTACTTGTTATGTTTTCTATTGGGTGGTGGCTCCTACTGTGGATATCTAATGCATATTTAATTTACTTTATCAGTACAGTTTCTTTATTATGGGATATCAGTAGCTATAAAACTCCATCATATATATTTTGGTATAAAACACATAATTTTTCATTTTTGCTTTCATTAGCATGAATATGCATATTTTGAACTTGAAGGGACTTTTTTACATTCAAATATATCAGATGGATCTGCTTTTCTACGTCTATTGGTTTTTTGACTGTAGATATTGCTCAGGAAAGTGACAACCACCTTGGCAGAGGTCCCATATATATCCATGACACATAAAACTTTTCTTAATGAATTCTTTGTATTTGATATTGTTCTACAAATGGTACAAATGTCATAGACTCATGTAAAAAGATACAAATAGATCAATTTTCAAAAATAATTAAAAACTTGTGAATTGACTCTTAATATTTCATATGCATTAAGCTTATTAAGAAAGTTAAAGCTTAAGTTCTTTATCTCCACACTTTCATATCGTCTAACAGATTATATATTTTGATTATTTTCTCTGTACAGTTACTGGTGAATAATCCAGCTCTATTTTGGTCAGTCTTTATGAGCAATTTTGACAGCAGTTGTGCTCTGTTGATTGTAATGTTAATTCTCTTTCAATTTAAGGTGAGTTTAGTATTTTTTATATTTCATTGGTTTGTTATAGTCTCTGTTGAAATGAAGCTTTAATTTTTATTTATGCTACATATAAAATATCAACTATAATTAGCAACTCTGTTTATTATTCTATACTTCATGAAACTGTTTGTTATAAATGGCTTGTAAACAATGTTTAGCAATTTGTTTTTTATTCTAGACTTTATGAAACTAATTGTGTTAATAGAATGGACAGTGTCATATAGGTTTAGCAACTTTTTTATTTTAGACTTTATGAAACTAATTGTGTTAATAGAATGGACAGTGTCATATAGGTTTAGCAACTTTTTTATTTTAGACTTTATGAAACTAATTGTGTTAATAGAATGGACAGTGTCATATAGGTTTAGCAACTTTTTTATTTTAGACTTTATGAAACTAATCGTGTTAATAGAATGGACAGTGTCATATAGGTTTAGCATTTTTTATTTTAGACTTTATAAAACTAATTGTGTTAATAAAATGGACAGTGTCATATAGGTTTAGCAACTTTTTTTCATTATATACTTTATGAAACAACTTGTGTTAATAGTATTGACAGTATAAACTAGGTTTAGCAACATTTTTATTCTAGACTTCAGGAAACTATTTGTGTTAATAGAATGGACAGTGTCAACTAAGTTTAGCAACTGTTTTTATTCTAGAATTTATTAAGCTATTAATGTTAATAGAATGGACTTCATTGATTAGGCTTAGCAAGTTTGTTTTTTATTTTAGACTTCATCAATGTGGTTTAATGATATACATGTATTTAGTTTTAAGGGAAATAGCTCTGTTTTTGTTTAAACTTCTGAAAAACATCAGCTTCTCTTTTGTAAGTGAAAATAAAAATCATAAACCTAGATGTTTCACTTCTTCTGAAGTTTCCTCAGCTGGTAAAGAGATTAGAATGTACTTTGTTTTTTAAATTATTTAAATGCAAGTAATTTGTATAAGATATTGTCCAAATATGATTTCCCTTTGTCATGCTTGTGGTATAAGGTTTTTACATTGAGATGTACATAAAATTGAAATTAAATTTGGTACATACACAGGTGCATAGATATACATGCACATAAATACACATGTATGTGCACCAAATAAAAATAAAATGTTTTTAAATTGGTGCAAGAAAGTTAGGCCAACTGACTAAACCATAACCTGAGGGGAAATCATGTGTGAGGTAATCAGATTGTTAAAGGAATTTATAGTTATGATTTCTCATCTCTTTTCATACTTAACAGTGATAATTGTAGGATTAGGGGACATAAATATACATTTTGGCAAGGTAGGAGTCATCTTCAGCTAAGACATCTTTATTTTTCTAACAAGGAATGGGTTGCTTTCAAGTGTGGTGGATGTAGTTAAGGGAAAGTTTGTTAAATAGTTGAATGATAAGGGATGGCTTTGAGTGTTTTATTGATATTTTAAACTTTGTGTTACTGGATGGGATGGCCTAGATGGAGAAATAGGTCCCTTGTTATCCTTAGATTATGTATATTTATATATATATACATATGATAGGTGGACAAAGAAGCAAGTTAATCTTGACCCAGGGCTCCTACAGGCTAGGAAGCCAGGAAAAGTCAGTGAATTTTATATGTTGAATGCTGGACTCAAGGAACATCCTGGAATTTCTTTTTTAAAGACAAAGACTGGGAAATATTCAGTGAGTTTCATGTGATTCAGGGATGCTTCTTGGACACAGATTATCTTTAAACACCAAAAAATTGCAGAAAGGTATTCTGGTGCATTTAGCAATATGCATATTTTATACACAAATTGTTTTTTCTCTGTATCATTGTTTCTCGTGGAAGGTGAGAATAATAGATTTTATAAACAGAAATTAGGTTTCCACCCAAAATAAAGTAAGGGCTCTGAACAAGGCTTTGTCTCGTCTTCCTAAACATCGTAGAGGATCATTTTACTACAGCTTAAAAACCCTTAACAAATACTATTTAGCTGTTTCTACTAAATAAGTTTTGTGCTTAGAAATTATAATGGATTAATAAAACATCCCCATATCATAGACATATTTCTGTAGGAAAGATTTGAACTTTGTCAAAATTAAAACTAACAATTTGATTATCTTAGTAAAGTCTAGTATACACTATCATAAACAAATAGCTAAACTATCTTTCTTGTTTATATTTTGATAAAGTATCAATATTCTGAGAATAATGTGAATTTGATTTGGAGGGAAAATGGTAGTAGTTCGAGAAAAATTGTCTTTCACTCAACAGGCATCAAAAATCTGTCTACTGAGTCCCAAAGGTAAAACATGAAATCAAGAAAAAAAAGCTGAAAAGAGAGGTAAAATGTGGAAAGAGAAAGTGAATGATACAAAGCTAGACTTGCACTTGAATAGAAAATGGAAAAAACCTCGTGTGGAAAGTAAATATGGGAAAGTCAGTATTCCAATACAATAACTTACTTCTGCTCACATAATAGCTTTTCTCGACAACTACTCTCCTTTATATGTACAAATTTTCCCTCCTTATGCTCCCACGTGTTATAGCTGCAAATGAGCAAGCAACAACCCTCTACCAACAGGAGCGTGACACACCCTCTTAGCACAGCTAACTCCTTCTATACTGTGGAACCCATTCTTCACTTTTTTGATTTGGCACTCTCGAGTGCAGACATGTTTTAATTTTGCTCGTTTTTACTTCATTGTTTTTTATATTTTGCCAGATTTTTTAAACAAATGACTCGGTTGTTTTTACATTTTGCTTTATTCGGGCATTAATTTGTTGATTGAATTTGTTTTACCCACTCAAGTTTCTTTTATTTAAATTCTTAAATAAGTGTTACAACTACTACTTTTGTAATGGTTGTCACTATACAACAACTATCATTTCTGTGAATTTGGGCCCCAGTATTTCAGTGAGGTGGTTTTGGTCTTTTTTTTCAATTAATTGGATTCTATCTTATGGCCTGATATCTCTCTTGTATCAGGGTTAGATGTACCACTCCCTGGTGTGTCTGGTTTGAATGATGACATTTTTGGACAGTTTTCTACCACCACCTTCCTTTGCCATGCAGTCAAGGACTAATGTTATGAATATTCCCACATTTCTCGTCAACCATTCCTTGACATAATTTCCCTGGTATGATACTTTTTGTCAGTTTCCTCTTCCTATACAGATTTGAGGTTCCATGCTAAAGTTCATAACTCAGTTACATTCTGGGCTTTTTTTTTTTTCCTGGACTCTCAAACCTTCGAGTCTTTCATTCAGACATGGAGATGAAACCCTGTAAATGTAATGTACTTTTCCCATTTTCATCTACACCTTCCCCATTTCCTTCATTACCTTGTCCCGCCATACCTCTTGTCACCATATATATCCACCGGGCCTTTGTGAGGTTTTTCTTCTTCTACTTTTGTACCTGTATTGCTGGCCTCTGTGTTGGTGGGATCTTTTTGGTGGTGCTCACTATTTACTCTAATGTGTCTCCCTCCTCTAGTTCTTCCTTGACCTTTGTTTGATGCCACACTTTGCAACTTTTGGTGTTTGAGTGTCTTTCTACCTCCTTTCGAGTGCTTCCTTAACAAGTTTTGGTGGTGAGCTCCATTTCTTCCAGGCATTCACCATAGATACTTGGGTGCTTTATGGTTGGATAGGGCTCTCCTTTTACCATCCTCCACTTCTCACGGACCTTTTCCTTACCTCCTTCTTGGGATCCATTTTCTTCCTCACCAGCATTTGTCAGAATCAGTAGAGGTTCTTTTCTATTTGGTTGCTGTCCTACCAGTCAATTCCCCTTATCTGGGGTTCTTTTCCTGGTTGTTTGAAATTTGTTATTCCAACAGATTTGATGTCCTGTAATTATTCCCCAACCTCGACTCTTTCACTGACCTTCTTTGTTTTTCTATGCAGTTTTTTTTCCCCACACAAACACATAGGTGTTTGAATGTCCAAGGTAGACATCTTGGATGCTTCCCTTCACATACCTATTTTCTTCTGCATCCTGGCTTTGGCTTCATTTTTGTCCTTGGGGATGGGGGGGTGTCAGGTCTTTTCATTCTGTGCTTTACTGTTGGGTCCCTATGTTTTGGTTGAGTGAACTTTGCCAACCTTCTGTGTGCACATGGTTTGCAGTTTCTTCTTCACTGGAATGACTGGCTGCCTTTGGTTCTGTCTCTTCAGTCATCACACTCACATTTTCCTTTTGGGAAAGCTACACATGGGGGTTGGCTTGTTTAATTGGTGGTTTATTTTCTTCTCCTGACCCAGTACCTAGGAGTAGGGGTTGGTTTTCTCCAACTCCTACCTTGGTAGGGCCCAGACTTCTCTTTCTTAGTTGCATTTGTTGGAGCTAATGGTTGTCAATGCTAAATTCTCTCCTTCAGCCATTGCTAATGTGGCTCTATTGCTTTTGAGGACTTGAGCTTCCATGGAAACCTTTCTTTCCTTGGATCATGCTCCCTTGCATGACCTTCAGTGGCTATTGCATGGTCTGTGGAGTTTCATTTGGGATCGTTTGGATTTCATTTTCATCCTTCCTCCATTTGTAAGGTCGTTTTTGCCTAGTGGCTCTACAGGGACAGCACCATGGCTGGCATTCCTCTTCCACCTCCCTCTCCTATGTTGTATTTTTTACCTGATACATCACATGGGTTTGCTTGTCTTTGGTCAGGTCATGGCCACATCACTCTTTTGGAATTTCTTGCAGTTCACTGGGTGTTGGATTATTGCCTCCCATTAATACAGGGTAGGTTGCTCATGATCCATTTTAACTGTTCAACCTTTGTCTTTTCCAATATTGACTGGGGGGGGGGCTACTTATTCTTTTTCACTTTGTTCTCAAATGTTGGATATCCATTTCTGGATCCACTCATTGCACATCTGTTTGTTGAATTTTCACTTCCTGGGTGCTCTTTCTTGTTGCACATTGGTTATTTCATCCAAACAAGATTCTCCCCACGAAGTGGTCTCCATGTCATCCATTGGTTATGCTCCCAGTGGGGCACTCCTGTACTGGTCATA